CTACATATACTACTCCACCCACTGGTCGATACGACGCTGTGCTCTCCAGTGCAGAGTCCCACGCTACCTCACAGTCGGCGCAATGTACAGCTCACAACGTTCGGTGGCGATCCTATCACTCTGCGACCCAGCAGTGAAACTAAAAGTGCGCGCCCTAAGCACGTCGCAAGTGCCCAGACCTAGTGCTCTACGCACCTCTGATTGGTCAACTCATGCATGAATAATTTATGAATTAGACTGGCATCCATGCCTACCCCTGTTTCGTCACAGTACTAATGATACCAGTCTTCTTCTTTTAATAGATCGAGTTACCAAATCAAGATGAATGGGCTGTTAACAACTCAACAATACACATGTGTAAACATGCAAACAAATGTTTTACGCTCACTTCCATTTTCCACAAACGAGCAATTATGGCTGGTTGCATCCAAACTTTGGACAACGTCTCCTTCCTAAATGTTTCTGCCACAGGTAGTATTAATCTGAACCATAATCCCTTTTAATAGTTTTTACACCAGTATCTGGGCTGGTACCTGTAGCTGTGTTGTATGACTCGAGTCCAGACTTGAACTCGAGTCCACTTTTTCAAGGACTTGGATTCGGCTTTTCTGGACTCGGTGTTGGACTCGGACATACATGTAAAAACTCGAAGGACTAGGTCTGAGTCCTGCACGAGTCCGGCCAAACTTGAGGTTTTTCGATGACAGATCGATTGCTGTGATGTGACATACATGTACATGGGTTATGTACACATGTACATGTACAGAGACTATGTGACGATGACAATCCTGACATAACGACTCGACTTGAGTCTAAGGAGTCCTCTCTAATCTCGTCCAGGACAAGTTGCGGTAAAATTGTGGGGAGAGTGAATACTTTCCCCACAATTTCCCCTCAAGTAGCAGTTCATTTATTGAGGGGAAGTTGTGGAGGAATTTTGCATTAGTAGGCCACTTATGTGAAGGACTATTTACATTACCAGTGGACTTGTAATAGGTGGTTACTATCTTAAGTGGTTTGCGGTTTCCAGAGACTGACCTTGGGTCACTCAACACTCCATGATTTTTTGTCATTTGTTCAATACCTATTGTTGACTGAATCAGAGGTCTTTGTCAGCCCCTCTGCTTCTTTTGCTTCCTTTTCTCGTTAAATGTACAAGTTGTGTTACCTCTGCCCCTTGTTATACATGTACCTCCATGTCCATTCACGTCTGAATTCAAAACTGGAAGTGTTTACTATAATATTGTTTAAAGGTTCCCTAGCCAGAATTGTCCAATCATGATTGTAATAACAGATTTTCAGTTTTTTCACATCAAGAGATAATAAAATGCAAAGCAACAATATGGTTTAGCTTTCCGTATGATACGCCGTGATTTTTTGGCCAAGAAATAAGATATATCACAGGAAGATTTATTGAAATACAGGGTATGTACCCAATCTCTTCTTGTTAATGTCTTTTGTGCAGTAACATTGACATATTAAATACAATAAAGTTGTATGTGCCTGAAGTAAGACCATAGCCCCCCAGAAGAAGAAACCTGAAGCAGTTTTATATTTTATGAAAGGATTGATGAATATTTATTCCAAATGATACAGTTAGAGAAGTTTCAGAAAGCTCTGAGTAAGGAGTGCAGTCCTTTGCCTGTGGCTTGTCTGTCATCAAAACCACAAGTGTCCTTGAGTGGCCTGCCTGACCAAAACTGCAGAGTGGGGGACGGAGACTGTGTATACAAATACTGATAGCCTCATATCGGAGAGATTGTGGGGAGATTTCCAGAAGCCTTCAACAAGCCACTGCTTGCACAGTTTATCCTCAACTTATCCCAGACGAGATTTGAGATGACTCCTAAGAACATATACGTGTAAACACCGCAAAGGATGCTAGGATATGATCATTGGAGCCTGTTTTTTACCCGACATATCGCCCATTCCATGGGAATGCAATAAATAAAACAGTTATAGTAACTTAGTGCCTTGACTTTCTGCACAGATTTGTCGCCGGTCAGACGGCTCTTCCATGTATGATGAAAACAGCAAATACAACTCATTTGAAATTGAACTTTCTGAAATTCATGGAAATGTCTTTTTTGTTGAGCTACAT